GGGGGTGTGTGCCCGGAGGCCATGGCTCCCGGCCTCGGCCGTTAAACCCAAACCGCTCCCCGTCCCTGGGCGAGGGGGTCCCCATGCCACCACCACCCCCGGCCCGGTTGCTGTTCCTTTTTCCTTCGGCAGGTTGTTGTTTTTCCACTTTGATAGCAGGGAGGGGAAAAAAAGTCATTTATGATAAAAAGTATCACTTAAATAGTCAGAAGGGGTAAAAGCCCCAGACAAAACCATATCCCCAAGCAGGAGAAAATTAAACACACTGATGTGTTTAACTTTAGGCCATTTAAAAATAACTATTGAACAGGCAACAGTAAATAACAATTCCTTCCCATCAGGTATGTGTCACTGCGGCAGCGAAGCTCCCGTTTATTTACCCAAAGCTGGCGGAGGGTGCCCCGGCTGGCTCGTTAGCTGCTAATTTTTATAGATGTCAGGCTGAAGTCTCCAACCTGGATAAATCAGGTGCCAGTGGTGGAGGTAGCGGTGCGAGAGCACTCAGCTCTCCTTCGGTGCCGGAGGGATGCAGCGCTCCCCATCAGGGGTGCCCGTGGAACCCCCACCCATTGGACCCAGCCTGGGGGGTTGAGATGAGACCCCACGTGCGGGGGCGGGTGCGCAGGACGTCGGGGTCTGTTCCCAGCCCACCAGCCCCATGCGATGCGCTGGAGCCTTTCTTTCTCTCTCTTTTTTTTTTTTTTTATGGAGAAATTATTATTTACAGTTTAATATCTTCATGTTTCTATGGAAACTCCATGGCTGCGCTGGGTGGAGAAGTCAAAACCAGCCGGGGAAATGGCAATATTTGAAAGCGAGAGGAGCGGGGCGGGTGCTCACCGGTGTCGGGGTGCGGGGACCAGGAGAGGAGGCAGGCGCAGGATGCGGGGGGGGGGCCCTCCGCGTGTCGGTGATGCTCAGGGTGCCGAGGCCGTGGCCTTGGTGGCTGCGCTTCGCCACTCCTGCCAAAGCCAAACCCTTCGCTCGGGCTCCTCGGCAAGCGGTTTTTCAGGATGCTCCAACCGAGCAGCGTTTGCTGAAGCCTTTCCCCTTCCCCACGCCAGGAATCCTCCCGGCGCAGGGAAAGCCCCTTGGGGATTGACGGTACTTCGGCAGGCGAGGGTTGGCCGAGCCCCCTCGCTGTGGGCACGCATGGGCATCGCACACCCGGGGAAACCGCTACAGCCCCGAATGTAGGTCACGCACATACGTGCATCATCATGCACATATGTTGACTTCCAAGAGCTGGGGCTCATCCTCACCGATGACGAACCCGCGTGTGCCTGTTAAACAGATTTGCATCTATAAACGGCGAACGCAAGGCGTATGCATTACGTACTGGGGGGCTGGGGGGACCCCCCCCTGCCTGGCACCGGCACTGGCGCTCATGCAGAACGAGCAGGGCGGTGGTGGAGACCTTCTTCCCCTAATAGCCGGTGACAGGGACTTGCTAGTGGCGATGTCCCTGCGTCGGGCGCGGAGCAAGGGCGGAAGGTGTGCGACGTCCCCGCTTTTGTCAGAAAGTATCTATCAGAGCAGCGGGGAAAGGTCAGCGGGAAAAGCACGCGGGGAGGCATGAGCGGGCCCTGAGGGTGCTGTCCCTGCGTCCGTCTGTCCTGCTACTAATACCAGGCAGTGATGCAC